GTTGTATCACGTCAGTTGATGGTATTAGACTCTGGTTATTGACCTGATTGGTCAATTAAGTCGCGATGTTATTGGTCGTGTGTCAGTTAGGCCGTTTGCAGTTTAATTTTTCAGATTTCACTCCACAGGTTAGGCTATGTTTCGTAGAGAAAAAAAAGCGTAAACTTTTCGTATTCAAAAATGTAAGACGTCGTTGTTCAGTGCCGGTAACTGCAGACTACGATTCAGTGGCGTTTATGTATGTTGGGCACTTGCGATTTTATCGGCCTGCTATGTCACATAAACATGAAACGTAACCTACTTTGTCGAAGAAAATAAAGAGGACAAAGAGTGATTTCTTGCGTGGAAGAAAAAAAGTTCGACACACATATGACGCTCATTTATCTGACGTATTAAGTTACCCAGTTCACCTTCATGTCATACATGCAGCACGCCGAAGACTAACGTCGAAAAGAAAATGGAAAACCCCTCGCATCGAGCAAAAAAAAATATATATCGACGCCAGGTCACGCCCATTTTTCTGGCGCAACATGTCACACTTCGCCTTCATGTTTATGTAGCACACGGATCACCACAGTTACCCTTTTTTGCAAAATTTCTTTTCACTGGAAAAAATAAATTCATATAATGATAAGCAACGACTTGAGCGTAATATATTTTTCCTTGTTCACGAAATGAATCATACGGTATTTTGCCTCTGGCCCTCAGAATTATCGCTTGTCTTACTTGAGGACTTTAAGGACATTACAAGCACATGACAGGACTGCATAGTGTTTTACAGTTTCTATGCAAACTGCATGTAAACACAACAGTTATTGAATAGGCTGAGTCTCATTCGAGAGCCAGTTCCAATAATTATTTTATTATTCATTCAAAATATTTTGAGTTATTTACAAGCTTACCTCCTCGCAGACTTTTTTCAGTTTTTTTTTGCCAATTTCTCAGCACTATTTTAGTATAAAAACATCAAGCAATGTGTTTACCGTAATCTTGTATTTCTTAACTTGTGTTTAGCTCGTCTTCGGATAGCACGTGAACGCCACTTCTTTAACTGAGTTCATTATTGCCCAAGTAGCCTTGTTTCCAGGCAAATATACAACTGAATGCCGGACATTTGGGTCTGTACTTTATCGACTCCTCATTGTAAAAGGTTTAATTTGAAAGAATTTTCTTCGGTAGAGGTATCAATATAATTCGAGTAAGAATACCTTTCTCTTTCAAGCTCAACCCAGCCATTCTTTAGAGTTGTTCCGGTTCTCTTTGCATACTTCTTCTTTACATCAATGTTCAAGTTAAAAAACTTGTCATAAGTTTCGAAAGTAGTGTCAATCTGCAAGATCAAAGTAATTTAACAAATACTAACCAGAGAGATTTTTTCCTCTAAAAAAATGATCCGACAGACGTATAATTCAATTACGTAGAAATTAGACGGCTAATTAATCAGGTACCATTGTTCACGGGGTTCTACTTCCCCATAAAGACCCCATAAAGACCAGCAAGAAAATAGAGTCCACTATACCTTGTTAGAAACGTAAAAAAAAAAACCCTGCAGTCTTCCTTTCACAATTTTGAGAAAAAGGCCCAAAAACAAAAAAGCGTGAATAAAGCTTTCTGAAGCCATTTTAAGCATTTTGGGAGATTGCTGGGAAAAAATTTATCTGTTCCTCACTCACAGCAAGACTGATGGAAGAGTTCCCAGCTAGCAAGGTGCACCTACAACATGCAACCTGACTTACTGGGAAGTTTCCCAGCAGACGTATTGTCCAGACGCAAGAGCTAAAACACTACAAAGACCACTTAATGTGTATCCTGAAACAGATTTTTGCTTGTAAAAGCTTTATTTGTGTAAGGTTATTTGTGTTTTTTATGTTGCAAACGGTGTTGAAATAAAAATACGACAGTATGATAATCTCATCTGGAGTTTATTTACTTTATTTGGTTTTACCAAGCCTCATAGTTTTCTCATACACCGTCCTGTAATAATTAACCTTTACAGATCCTGCACCACAATGCATGTAAAGGTAAGATTTCCATACAACCCCAAACATTTGTTATGTGTGTTAAATAATATAAGCTTGCTGCATGGATAATAAATGTAGTTGAGGTTTGGATGCATAGGACCCTTTGATGTTGTGTTTGCCACTTATAGATTCAGCAAGTTTTGTCTACTTTTGTAGGCAGTCTTTTCTTTTTTTCTCTATAGAAAGCACTCAGAAGTGTTAAGAATATAAACTACTGCAATAAGTTCAAGCTGTGTATAGCTTCTTGTTTATAATTATGTCTTATTTCTTGTACCTCCCCTCCTCAGTGAAAGCCTAATTAACTTACTTTCTACATTGTATGGTGAAACCGGTATTATGCAGACCCCACATTAAGCAGACACCCTGTATTCAGCAGTCAAATAGCTCAAAATGTGGCAAAACGTTTCTTTCCATAATTTAAGAAAAACAAACCTGTATTTAGTGGATATCTCTAATAAGCAGAAAGCAGCAAATTTTGTGTGGATGTCTGCCTAATTCTAATTATACAAGTTTTTCTTTTTTATTTATAACAACCTCATATGCATAAAAATAGATGGTAAAAAGAAGGATGAGTGAGGGGGCAAAGAGAGAAGAACTGAGTCCTTATGCCAGGCTGGCTCCCCCCTGAAGGTATAATATAAAATACAACATGTATAAAGGTTTCATAAAACTGCTACATCATTTTTATGTTGTATGTCTTTTAGACTGTGAGCTGTCTCTCTTCAGCTCAAAAATCTGTAAGCGAGAGTATTTGAGCAGCGAAGAAGAAGTTGTGAGGGTGCAAATTCGAATACGTTGCTCAAATACTCTCCCTTACAGATTTTCGAGCAAAAGAGACTGCTTGCAGTCTATATGTCTTTCAGTGTCTGCAAACTTTTCTGTTGTTTTCTGACAGGTTGAATTGAAGGAACAATACTACTAGCAATCATGAATTATCTTTTAAGATGTCTGGATGACCTTGCCATGGAATTAATAGTGGGGAAAATAATGTACAAGCTTGACAAACAGTGCAAGTTCTATATTTTGGGGCAAAGGAGCACTTATTTATTTATTCATTCATTATTTTCTATACTTTTGTTAAACTATGTGGCTGCCAAAGCATTTGGGATTTGAAATTTGAGGAGTACTGGGAAGAGTGTGACCAACTGAGTGACACACATGTTATTGTACACAATACATTAATATTAATTTGTCTCCTTCTAGATGCTTTCCTTGACATTGCCTCTTTCAAGCCATGGCATGAAAAGATACATTGATTCAGTCACACATACTGTTTTATTGTTCCAGAATGTCTCTCTCAATGCAACCCATGCAGATGCATGAATTGATTAACACACCAATAAAAGAAACTTGACCTAATTAAGAGGTCAAGGTGTGACCAAAGGAAGTTCTTATTGATTTTTATTTCAATTTGATACTGCCATTTTTAACTTAAAGCCTTCCTCAATGAAGGTCATATGCTCAATACCTAAATCTCCTGTGATGTCTTAGTGGTTGCACGAGGCCTACCCTGATCAATCATAATGTGAGTTTATTAGATTATTTAAAGGGAAAGATTGGGGTGTCATGGTGGTTGCCTTAAAAGCAAAAGATTACACAAACTTGCTCTGCCTGCAGACTCGGCTTTAAGAGCATTAGAATGCAACATTAAAATCAATAAAGTCAATGTTTAAACATGTTGAAATACAAAAAGGTGCTCACTTTACTATTGTCTGTACTATACTTCTGATTCGTTTAGGCAGCAAAATTCAAGAAAACTTTGCAAAGCAGCATGTATATGAATCCTTATAACAAATTCTTATGAGTCTGAATAAAACAGATATCCCATGTCAGGAACTTAAAATTTACGTAAAGTTTTCTTCAGCTGGCTATCGTTTGCAGCTCTTATGATTGGTTGAAACCTTTTAACACAAAGAAAATACCCCTTAAAATGGGTATGGATACATTTATTTTTGAAAACATTTTTTTCTGAAAATATGGTTAGAAACTTTTCAAACATACTGAGCTATTCATCTGCTTAACATAGGATGTAACTTTTAATATGGAGTCCACTTAAATATACAGGTTTTGCCGTACACTATAGAAAAAGAGTAAGTAGGTTTGTATTTTTTTTCTGTGTGGAAGGGGGGTATAAAAAATAAGACACAATTCAGCGAGAAGCTATACACAGTTTGAACTTATTGTAGTAGTTTTTATTCTTCATACTTTTGAGAGCTTTCTATAACGAAAAAAAAAAACACTACATTCAGCAGCCGACACCTAAAACCATAAGTGCTTAAGTAGTACAATAGAGAAAACTTGCTAGATCAATAAGTGGCAAACACAACATCAAAAGATCCTATGCATCCATGAATGCCTGAAGCTTGAATTATGCTGTGGTACGATTTGCAGTCAAACCCCTACATTTATTATCCATTGCAGCAAGCTTATATTATTTAACACACATAACAAATGTTTGGGGCTGTATGGAAATCTTATCTACACATTGTGGTGCAGGATCTGTAAAGGTTAATTATTACAGGTCTATGAGGAAAATATGAGGCTTGGTAAAACCACATAAATTATAAGTAAATAAACTCCAGATGAGATTATCATACTGTCGTATTTATTTCAACACCGTTTGCAACATGAAAAAACACAAATAACCTTACACAAATAAAGCTTTTACAAGCAAAAACCGTTTTCAGGATACACACTCAGTGGTCTTTGTCAGCTTTGTAGTGTTTTAGCCTCGCGAGTAACTAATGCGTTAGATCGGTGTTTTGCCAGTCTTTTTTAGAGTAAGAACCTTTCATCAGAATTCGGCGAAATCCTAGGGTCCATTTTTTGTAGTAATAATATTCATTTTATTTACATTTAACTCTGGGGAGGAGGGAAGCCTGGGTACTAGTTTACCGGAGTCTGCGCTTTAGAACTGTCAGAACGCTGCTAGAACTCTTAACATGTGCTTGATTTAGCTGGCTTTCTCCTCTATGAATTATGAAGCTTAGAAGGAGTACGAGAGAGAAGAAACCTCCCCAGCATTTGCAGGATTTCCAGTTAGAATTAGATCCGACAGAGAGCCTTCAGACACGTCCGATTAGAGATGAATTGAACCAAGTAGAGTCTCTGCTTGAAAGCTTAACACCCGAAGCAGATAAACAGTCTGCAAGTGCCAACAAACTCCAAACCCCGGCCTTTACACCCGAAGAAGAAAAGCAGTCTGCCGCCAGTATCAGCAAACTTCAGAATGAGAACTTGAAGTTGGAACTTGAACTGACAAGAGCCAAAATTGAGCTTGCTCGGGTTAAGTCCGCGATGGCACACGAAAGTCAATCCAAGATGGCCGCCCCAAACCCGGCAACCGTCAACACACGAAATCAAGGCCAGTGTACGACCCAAAGAGCGACTGTACCCACTCTAACTGCGTTGCAATCTGACACAGCGGTTCAAAAGGAGCTTAAAGCCTTAGAAGAGTCACTAGGGGACCCAATTCTTCTTGGTCTTTCTGACGAATTGGTGGGTCCAGCGCAAAAACTACTGGAACCTAACACGACCCCCAGAGGTAAGCGTCCCCTGCTAATTCCAGATTTTGTCAGTTCCCTCCCAGTGGTTCTGGAAGAGGACCGGGAGACCGTGCTTGGCGCTTCTGGTGGCACTCAAATCATATTAAAGACTAGCCATGAGAAAAAGCCCCTGCTCAACAACATCACCTTTCCACAATGGTCAGCAGCAAACCTCAGGATCATGCACACACTTGTCAAAGAAGGTGCCTTGTCAACTATGTCAGACATTATGAATTACATATCATATAGCACCAAAGTCTCAGAGCTGGCCAAGATTTACCCGCTAGCCCGTGTCGTCCACTATGATGACCTTTATCGACGAATGCAATTCGCCACTGGTTGTAAATGGGGTACAGAGAGTCAGTTTATCTACCAGCAATCCCTCCACAAGCCTGACACCAACCAGCCTGGCTCAACCAAACAAGCAAACCGTCCTCCAGGTAGATCAACACCAACTATCAACCCGACCACGGGCAAGCAGGTGTGCTATGACTTCCAACGACGACAAGGCTGCAGCTATGGCACAGCTTGCAAGTATGACCATGTTTGTATAAAGCCACAGTGTTTGGGGGATCACCCCCAATGGAAGCACACAGCCACTCACTACCCCCAAGCCTGAACACACACTCGCCTGCAGAGCTATTTCGCAATTCTTTCGTGGAGCCACTTGCAGGGGATAGCTCGACTGCATCACCCATAGCAGGGAAATACCCATACGTTAGTTTAGAAACAGCAGAGTGTGTTACTGACTCCAACCAATCAGCAGGGCCCTCATGTTATGCGCAGCAGCCCGATGCAGCCTGTATTGCCACAGACTTAAAATATGAGATATGGGCAAAGGAACTAGCTAATGATATGGACAGAGACTTTATTCTCAATGGTGTACGAGAAGGGTTTGGCTTGATTCCGCGAGATACTACTGTTTTACCAGCTTTCACAAAGAACAACAGATCGGCGCTTAGGCCAGGGGCCAAAGAGCACATTGAAGAGCAACTATGTAAGGGCCTATCACTAGGCCATTTTGGATCTTCAAACACACCCCCCATCATTGTTAATGCTATTGGAGCTGTACCAAAAGGGACTCTTCAGAGTTGAGACTGATTATGGATTGCAGTCGACCGCTTACATTGAGTGCAAACTCCTACATGGACCTTGACCACTACAAATATACTACAGTTGATGAGGCAGCATGCAAAGCCAAACCAGGTTTTTGGTTGGCCAAGATTGATTTAAAACATGCTTATCGCAGTGTTGGTACTCACCCCAGCAGCTGGAAAGTCACTGGCATGTCTTGGCTTTTTCAAGGTACTACCGACATCACTTTCCTGTTTGATAAACGCCTTCCCTTTGGTGCTCGAACCTCTCCTATGGTTTTCCACCGCCTTACCCAATCAGTTTGTAGAATGATGGCCCGACGAGGTTTCACAGTGCTTGCATATTTGGATGTTTTCCTCATCATAAAACCCAGTCAGCAGCAGTGTCAAATCGCTGTGGACACCCTCCTCGATTTGCTTCAGTCACTTGGTTTCACAATAAACTGGTCAAAGGTTGTTCAACCCAGCCAATCCCTGTGCTTTCTGGGAGTCGAAATGGATACAGTGAATCGTGTACTACGGCTCCCCAGGGTCCGCGTCTCTGAGCTNAACGCCTTCCCTTTGGTGCTCGAACCTCTCCTATGGTTTTCCACCGCCTTACCCAATCAGTTTGTAGAATGATGGCCCGACGAGGTTTCACAGTGCTTGCATATTTGGATGTTTTCCTCATCATAAAACCCAGTCAGCAGCAGTGTCAAATCGCTGTGGACACCCTCCTCGATTTGCTTCAGTCACTTGGTTTCACAATAAACTGGTCAAAGGTTGTTCAACCCAGCCAATCCCTGTGCTTTCTGGGAGTCGAAATGGATACAGTGAATCGTGTACTACGGCTCCCCAGGGTCCGCGTCTCTGAGCTCTCTGGTTGTCAGAGTACTATGCTATCCAACTAACTGTTGAGCTCATCCCTGGCTCAGCCAATGTTATTGCCGACAGTATCTCTAGACTTGATGAAACATGCCACCGACACGCACTTCACGCATGGCTCTCACGGTCCTCTTCCTCTACTGAAGACTTGTTGTCTCACATGTCACCTTTGTCGCTTGCTTTCCTCAGATCCAGAAGATCAGTCACGATTGGACACGGAGGTTCTTAAGCTTCGAAAACAAGCCTATGCAACTTCCACCAAGGCCACTTACAAAAGTCAACTGCGAGCCTATCTTACCTTTTGCGTATATTATGGGTACCAGCCACTTCCAGCGTCTACCATCACACTTAGCCGCTACGCAGCCTTCTTAGCACGCTCTTTGTCTGCTTCCTCTATTCCAGCTTATCTTAACATTGTCCGTATTCTCCATTTGGAACATGGCCTGAAAGACCCTACCAAGAATATCTTCCACTTAGCAACAACCTTGCGCGGTATACGTCGTTGCAAAGGCTGCACAGTCTCACAGAAACAACCCATGACCCCTGCAATGCTTTTAGCTATCAAGTCACACTTGAACTTAACAGACCCAGTCCATGCCACCTTTTGGGCTGTCTGCTTAACAGGCTTGTTTGGACTTCTTCGCAAAGCTAATATGTTGTTGAAGGGTGTTACCAAGTTCAACCCTTTAAAGCATCTTAGGCGAAGTGACATTGTGTTCTACGTACCCAGGCTGGGCCATTGTCATCAACCGCTGGTCTAAAATCATCCAGTTTAGTCAACGTCTCCTTACTGTACCACTACCTCTCATCCCAGGTCACCCACTGTGTCCCTATTCTGCACTACAGTATGCCTTCAAGCTTGTGTCAGCCACCCTGTCTGGTCCAGCCTTCGTCTTGCCAGCACCCTCAAGGAGGGGCCTAATACCATTCACATATGCCAAGTTCGACAGCCTTCTTAAATCAGTGGCTTCCACAGCAGGTTTAGACCCGTCCCGCATCAGTGGTCACAGCCTTCGTTCAGGGGGTGCTACCCTAGCCTTTCAAGCTAACATTCCTGAGGAGTTTATTAAACGACTAGGAGACTGGCGATCTGATGCCTTCAAGTCTTATATTCACATACCCAGTAAGTATAGAATGTATGCTATCCGCCAACTAGCCTCATTTGTTTGATTGCTTATTTATTTATTTATTTATTTTTTATAATACTTTTCTATTGGTATGGGGTAGGTCGTTCCTCCCTTGGGCAGTTTTGTTTTCAATAAATGGGAGGGCCTGCTTTCTGGCCCCTTCCTCTACCCCATACCTGTTGTTGTTGTAATCTCGCACTGGAGTTAAGAGGGTAAGAAAAGACTTCAAAGTATTCAAAAGAGCGTTTTCCGATTAACTTTACTGAGCAGTATATTTCGTTCGATGGAATGTTGACAATTACAGTTTAGTTGAATAGAAGAGATGGTTTTGTAAACTCAACGTTTCCTTCAAAGGCGGATTTTCCCCAGAAATCAAATGCACTTATTAAAGAACAACACAAGCTGCACAATGCAAGAAACCTTTTTCCCTGACTTCGCGAGTCGACAGATGAAAACAAACCTCTTCTTTTCTTCACAGGCTGGGAAGCAGAATTTAAAGTTCTGGCGATTCCATATAACCCATTAGGTCATTGTTTGCGAAAGAATTTTTTAACTGCGATTTGATTTGCAATGCTTCAAAATTCTGTAAATCAAACTTTTGCACATACCGATTTTCACACATGAATTGATCCGTCAAAACCGTCAATCAAATTGAACTTAAATAGTCTCCTTACTGATTTTTAATCTTGGTGAACAGTGGCTTTAGGAATATTAACCTCGCCGCGAATATTCCGCTTCTATTCACCTCGTGTTCAAGAATATTAAAGTGCTTAATTGTTAATTGTCCAATGTGAAGCACGGTACAAAATATCAGTCAAAGCAGGAAAAGGTGTTTTCCACATGATCCCTGGTCATGTCCTTGACAAAAATACTGGAAACCTTTATACGTTCTTTTCCTTCCTCTTTCGATAGAAAATACGTCCACGTGGTTGCTTGTATGGTCGTCTTTGTAGGACCCGAGTGTTTTGTGTGCAACGCTTTATATCCGGGCCGCAATGCTACTTGTCCTCTTTCCAGCTGTTCAAACAAAAACGATGATCACGCGGTCCCTTTAACCGATTTCTACCATTTCNTATTTATTTTTTATAATACTTTTCTATTGGTATGGGGTAGGTCGTTCCTCCCTTGGGCAGTTTTGTTTTCAATAAATGGGAGGGCCTGCTTTCTGGCCCCTTCCTCTACCCCATACCTGTTGTTGTTGTAATCTCGCACTGGAGTTAAGAGGGTAAGAAAAGACTTCAAAGTATTCAAAAGAGCGTTTTCCGATTAACTTTACTGAGCAGTATATTTCGTTCGATGGAATGTTGACAATTACAGTTTAGTTGAATAGAAGAGATGGTTTTGTAAACTCAACGTTTCCTTCAAAGGCGGATTTTCCCCAGAAATCAAATGCACTTATTAAAGAACAACACAAGCTGCACAATGCAAGAAACCTTTTTCCCTGACTTCGCGAGTCGACAGATGAAAACAAACCTCTTCTTTTCTTCACAGGCTGGGAAGCAGAATTTAAAGTTCTGGCGATTCCATATAACCCATTAGGTCATTGTTTGCGAAAGAATTTTTTAACTGCGATTTGATTTGCAATGCTTCAAAATTCTGTAAATCAAACTTTTGCACATACCGATTTTCACACATGAATTGATCCGTCAAAACCGTCAATCAAATTGAACTTAAATAGTCTCCTTACTGATTTTTAATCTTGGTGAACAGTGGCTTTAGGAATATTAACCTCGCCGCGAATATTCCGCTTCTATTCACCTCGTGTTCAAGAATATTAAAGTGCTTAATTGTTAATTGTCCAATGTGAAGCACGGTACAAAATATCAGTCAAAGCAGGAAAAGGTGTTTTCCACATGATCCCTGGTCATGTCCTTGACAAAAATACTGGAAACCTTTATACGTTCTTTTCCTTCCTCTTTCGATAGAAAATACGTCCACGTGGTTGCTTGTATGGTCGTCTTTGTAGGACCCGAGTGTTTTGTGTGCAACGCTTTATATCCGGGCCGCAATGCTACTTGTCCTCTTTCCAGCTGTTCAAACAAAAACGATGATCACGCGGTCCCTTTAACCGATTTCTACCATTTCTTGTAAAGGATCCGTTTGTGTAGAAGTTTTAACCAGTTTCCATGGTAGGTTCTTCGTTGAAGAAGGACAGTTTATCAAGTATCGTCCCTCCACTTAGGCAGCCATTTTATTCATTTCTTGACGCGGCCTCGCTTTGGCGCTGAATCTTCCGGAAGTCAACCAGGTTACCGGAAACTGTTTCCGCAAGGTCCGCATAGTTCTAAAAATAACTTTTTTGAAATTAAGATATCCCAAAGGCGTGACTGGGAGAGTCCCTCTCTATCCTATTATGGCTCTTGCCAGACGTTATTGGCCAGTTCGAGTATGGTCATAGGGCAAAAAATTCACCCCACGCAAGAGGTTTGTAACATATAGCCCATAGCCGGCATGCCAACTATTCTCACTGCATACATAATTAGCCCGTAGCACGGGAAGGTTTAAATCAGTTAAATTACGTCCTACTGGGCCTGCGTGCTGCCGCGCATAATGCCTTGCGGCCCTCGCTTCAAATAGCTCGGTTTTAGCCGCTTCCTGGCCAGTTCTACGGAGTTCGGTGAAATTGGCGTTTAAGTTTCGCCCCTCCCACCTCCCCTGGTGGCGGTTGGCTTCACCTTTACGCTATGTTCGGCACGCCTATTGCCCTCACAGTCGCGGCATCTTTCCATAACTTAGTTCTCCGTGACGGGGTAATAAGTGTGCAGTGAGGGTATTTTACTATTCTAGACACCAAATCCCCTCAAACACCCTTATTTGTCCATTTTCCAGCAACGTTTTCCTTCTATGGACAGAATATTTTTTCAAAATCTCCCAATCAGCAAAAATTTGCCTCAAGAACAGATATTTTGAGGAACTGATCGATTGGATGCCCCAGCGTATTTCAAGACCGCCTAAGAGACGATTTTACTTAAGGCGAATTTTGACCCATAATTTCTCTAAAAGGTGAATCGAATTTCCTTAGAATCTCTCAGAGACACGACTGTGAAGTATAAATTGGGTCCGATCCACTCGATAGTTCTTACAAGAAGTGATTAGCAGTGGTTGATCCAGACCTTCAGATAACGGGGGTGGTGAGGGCGGTCTCAAAAGATTTTTTAAAACTAACGAGGGGATACCGGACCCACCAGGCCCCTCCCCTGGATCCGCCTCATTGATTAGAATAGGATAGACTTGCCGTTTCTTGTGGGATTCCATAGTTTGTAAAATAAACGACTCCAGTTGTGCTGAAAGCTTGGTACACTTGATTAGCAAGGTCTTTAACAGCTTGGCTGCTTAGATCTGGATCCTTGACGTCTAGACTCATTGCGCTAAAGTCTACAACTGGAATTCCACAAGAAGGATTGGCTGGCATGTTGAAAACTTCACAGTTGGTACTAGCAGACCCTATTGACGCTGAAAGAAAAAAGAATAATAAATTAGAATTTGGCGTGTTGGCCGAAATGTTTTAAGGCAAACGTGTCCGTAAAATAAAGTCAGTATGCGTAATCATCTAAATACAAACGTTTACTGCTCTCCGAAATTTTATTCCACGTGAGAAAGAGACACATTTCAAGAAAAACCTCAGCGACCAGGGTAATACTAACATTTCAACCGGAAAACTTTAACTTCTGATCAAGACGTAGGAAACTGCAAGTCACCGTTAAACATTCAAATGACCTAATGAATGTAATTGTAGTAAAGGGTAATACTGTTGTGAAGTATTTTGAAAGTTATTTTCAAGATTTGTATTTCATTTTAAGTTTCTTTTTTTAAAATTACATGAGTTAATGTTTGTCTTCATTTTCCAAATAGGTGTTTTTCTGTTTTCATCTTAAAGTTTGTTTTTAATCGTCCACTGACTTGAATTTTTGTTTAGCTAGCTGTTTACGTAATGCCATTTGTGGAATATTCTTCGCCTGCCATTGTCAAATGTTTTTTTTTTTGTCAGAGATTTTTCCCCCATACAAATCCCTATATTTCGAATGCTAGGCAACAATGCCGATGCTCGCAAAAGCTAATATTTCGAGCTTGCGCTACCTGTGGTTTGAGTGTAGTGACTGGAAGTGAGACAACCAACTTTCTTCTGAGCACAGCATGAAAATGGAGATTTACGCAAAATTAAAGTTTGCGTAAACCTGCGTAAAGTTGGTCATCCAACTTTACGCAAACTTTCCACGGCGCGTAAAGGTTTGTAAAGGTAAATTTACGCGCTCGGCTCTTAAAGGTTTCGTAAAGCTAGCATAAAGTTGTTGTAACAGCTTTACGCTCATTTACGCTACAAGTAAAGGTTTAGTAAGGTTGTCATATAATGCTAGCTTCCTAACAGCAATTTATTCCCGGCACTGTTTTTAGTAAGTCGTTTGTGTCCTGATACTAGTTCGCATAGTTTTTTTGATCACTCATTTGGTGTTCGATGTTGGTGTGCGATGTAAACGAGCCAACCACGCAAATTTTTTTTGGTGGTGCGAACGACTTCGTACACGCTTAAAAATGACGCTGAAAAGAAAATTCTGCTGGCAGAGTTCATGCAAAGATATAGCTTACGACTGTGCGGCAATTTTCGAAAAACGGCATATCTGTCGCGGCAAACACAATAGCCTTCAATACTCAGTAGTATTCCCTCATTGATTTCAGTCAGTATAAGATGTTTCTTCCTTAACGGTCACCTCTCTACACGGGCCATTTTTGTTTTGTTTTTTTTTTTGGCGGACGGTCCATACATGACATACATTTACTCTTCTTTCAACCTCTCTGCTATGGCCACTTTCTTCGATGTCCCTAAGGTGGCCGTTGTAGAGAGTTTCAACTGTAATTTGATCAAATTGAAATAATTGGAAAATAAAGAAAAAATATCGCCTCGCAAAAACGGCGAGTTTTACTTAAAGAAAGAACGCATTACTTAAAGAGAAAGAACGCATTCACAAATTACTGTGACCATTTTACATTCAACGGAGTACTGGCTTCATTGTTGAACCTCCTTTATCGCTTCCTTATTTTAAGTCCGCGGACTTCAGGTTTGGGAACGGACAATTTGTTAAAAGAAAGGGGCCTGGAAAAGATAGAGTGAAGGGACACCTGGTCAGCGGGCTTGTTCCTTTGCACATGCTCAATCAGGTTCGTTGATTTGGCGTCCATTTTGAAAGTGTCCAACGGTTTCAAACTTGCTTCTTTGAAAGGTTGGAGATCGTTCATATATTATTCTTCTTGATAGCATCACAGGACATCTTAAGGTTGTTACAATTTATAATGGCACTATCAGCCTTTAGTAATCGATCACTTCTCAAGTGTGCAGCAACCCTTTCGGGACGAGATACTCAGTCAGAAATGGAGACAGAAACATCGTGTGAAGCGCAAGCATTAACACTGGAATGTTCACAACACAGACCAAGACTGTATTACACTTATTACTAAGGCTCTTCGATACTCAAGATCTCGCTGAAAAGAGCAGATAGTAAGGCAAGGTAAGTTGTCCTGGCTCGCCTTTTCTCTAACTTTTTAAGCTTAATTCCAACTTGTTTATGACGAGTTCGAATGACTGTCTCAAGTACTCAGTAACTAACATTTCAGTGAGCAATGAAACCAGCATTAACCGTTTAAAGTAAATTATAACTAAACATGTGTATTTATTTGGCATAACCTTTCAATACTAAACAAGCAACGAGACCATGACGTTGAAGATGATAATGTAAAATCATGTAAGGACTTTGGGGGTCTGAAGGAGTAGAATTTCCTTGTTTTGTACTGGAAAATAGGAGTTTGGTCACTGGTACTGGGAATTACTAAAAGAAAATAATGGAATTGAGAAAGGACATCTGTATAAAGTAAGCTTACATGTAATGTGATACAAACATTCTTATGAAAATTTTCACAGACTATAGAAGAACTAATAAACAGAATAGAAAAGTGTTAACAAGTGTTGAATTTGCAAGTAGGCAAAGATAATCTACGTAGTCTGGTTCTATATTTTCATGCGTCAGTCAATAACAAACCCAAGCTTCCCAATTCCCCGGGCAGTCATAGCGTCATAATTGGTGAATAATTTAACAGCATGCATGTATTTTTTGAAGCAGGTACAAAAGTTTATTTTTGATTTTAAATTACGTGGGTTTTAACTTAAATGAACAGAGAATGAATAGACATTTTCATGAGTCTTTCAATGCATAGCTAATGCAGACCATGATTGAATTAGAATGTATTTTCATGTAAGTGCCAACATAGTTGTTAACATCTTCACAGTTTCATACCTTCATCTGCAGTTCAAAGTATGATTCATTTCATATATTACCATTAATTTTAATCTTCATTGTGCACTGCTCCTATGAAATTATATTGTGGTTCTTGAGAGGATACAGTGCAGCACATACTGTCAGGAAATTGAATGCCTTACTTTTTGGGAAGCAAAGCACACAGTCATGTTAGAAACCAGAAATTGTTCTATTTGCACCATAGTTGTATCGTCAGTAAATCTAGGTTTAAAGGAAAATAAAATTTAAAGAAACAAGTTGTGAAAGATAAGACTCTTAAGAGAGTCATAGCAGTCATAGCTGTTTTGGATTCTCTTGTCTACATACACCATTATTAATCTGCAAATACAACTGTCTCTCTTGTGAAATGTCCCTGGTGGCAAGGAAAGAAAATAGGCTGCTTTATTTACAGGGTACACTGTACATTATTATTAGGAGGCATTGTTTTCAAGATTGAGGATAAGGGCTTTAAATAGCAAAGTGGCTTCACTCCTGTTACATTAACTAGGAACCTTGAATGTTTCATATTAAAAAGGAAAAAAAAATATATTAGGTAAAGTTTCAGGAAAATTTAAAACTTTTGGGAATAAGGTGCTTATATGTTTCTATATTTTCCCTGAAAGTCTTTGGTGGAGCTCATGAGAAGGCTAGGAATGTTTATTGATTTGGAACTTTAGTCCGGGACAGATAGAAATTTAGTTCGAACATGTAAACCTTTGATATGACTTGTCCGTGGGACAAGCACATTTTTAATTAGAAAAATAAAGATAAGAAACAGTTGCCTTAAATATTCCATTTAACTTTGCCATTCCACTGCCAGTTGTTTCATCCATTTGCTTTTTTACAAGCTCTGTTGTAGGTTTAATTCAAAAATAATATACAAGGGTAATAATGTGATTAAATAATGTGATTAAAAACATTAAATGCCCGTTGCAAGCTAAACTTTTTGGACAAGAACTCTAGGTTTCGGACAACCAAATTTAATGTATTGCTCGTGTGAAGGACAAGTGGATAGGAAAATTTCTCTCTTACCAGGGTGCAAAGAAAGTGATTTTTAAAGCTTGCCATTCGGGCAAGCTGAAGCTAGCATATACTAGCCCAAATGTCATTTCAACTAGCCCCCAAACCGTTTTGATGAGCAGAATTGATTTCACAGTTCTTCTTTAATTTGAATTCCTCAAAAAAACTTCACTTGCCCATCGAGCAAGTTAAGTTCAAAATTCACTAGCTCGATAGCAAAATCCACTAGCCCCGGGCTATCGGACACTACTTTCTTTGCGCACTGCTTACTCTCTAATAATAATAATAATGTACATCCAGTGGTTTTTCATAGCACTTTACAACGATATTAATGGATGATACTTTTATAAAAATGCATACATTAAAATAAAAAAAGATATACATTGTAAAACATTGAACTCTAATAATATAATAAACCATTGTTAATAAATTTAACATATATATATGCTTCAGTCTCCCCGACTAGTAAGGCACTGTGCCTGAGTTATAAGACATGAGACTTAAATAAAGTTCATTACTATTATTATTATTATTATTATTATTATTATTATTATTATTATTATTATTATTATTATTATTATTATTATTATTATAGGGTTTCCATGTAGCATTTTACCCTGATTTTCACTCAACTGCAAGTAGGGTTCTAAATGTAAATATTATTGCCTTTAAGGAAAGCCTTTAACTCATACTAGTCAAACATTTTGAATCTTTAACAGTCAGATGAATCTTATTCAGTTGTGTGAATTTGTGGACATTGAAATCATTTGCTACTCAGGTTTTGCACTGTTATTAGACCACTTGTGGAAAATGCCTTATCATTTTTTTTCAAATTTTTAGTCTTGGTTTGTGAAAAGAGGCATTTGGGGAACCCTGTGTCAAGTAAAATTGTGCTGATTGTAGTAATTTGGCCATGAGTGTAGGAAAAAATATTATTAATTAGTAATAGCAGGCGGTGTCCTCTGGCAACTTAGGGGGTGTTTACATGACACCGGGGCAACTTTTGCCCCGGAGCGAGTTCACTCCGGTTCCCTCTCATAGCTCTATAATTGTTTACATGATACCACCACAAAATGTCATGTAGGCGCGAGTCACCTCAGCGTGAGTTCACCCCGGTTCTTGTACCGGGGCGAGAATTTCACTCTGGTACAAAATCTCATGGCAGTATCATGTAAATGTGAAACGACCACCCGTTTCGGCATGAAATCGGTCTGCCGGTAGACTGGAATGGGTAGCGCACGCGTAATGTTTGCGATTTTGAATCACGCTTGTATTTTATCAACATGAAGTGTACCTTCAAATAACGAGATATGAAATGACTCAGTCATAATGTAAACCCGATACAAAATCAAAAAGTCATCCCGGTATGAGACTCGCGCCGGTGTGAGTTTTCTCCTGTAAACACCCCCTTACTGTACATGTACTTGTGCCTTTAGTGCACGATTAAGTGTATTATCACTAGCCTACAAATAATCTGTGTAGTTTACTCAAATAATACTTGCTTTCTATTTATTCAGCAGATCAGCCTGGTATGGGATGTTGGTGACAGAAAGTCCTCTCAAAGCAAACAGGATTAATACATGTTAATTACAAGCCTTAGTCTTGTAAAGTGGTTCCAGGGCTGTCACTAAGGGCCGTAAACCAGACTTTAAATCGGCTACTTTGAGCCCAATACTTGGCTGTTTTGAGAGGAAACGAAACTTTCCACATTTTCAATGTCCCGCTCACTAATTTCACTTAAACCCTGCAACTTGCAATCTTAGTGACAGCCTTGTGCATCTAACCTTTACATCATCAGTTTATGAAAATGATTTGTTATTTGGATTTTGTTGTTAAATTTGACTGTAAACACTTCTGGGAGTGAAAGGGCTAAATCAAGAAACCATCAATGTTATACATGTATTAGGCTTTCAGTCTTTTTATTTCTTATCTAAAATTGTTTAAGCTTTTAATTTGAATTATGCTAAATTATACTAAATATTTTCATTTTGGAAGAGACCATTTTGACCCACCTTTACATTAATTTGTGTGTTAGAGTTGCTGTTTTTTATCAAAATTTAACTTCATCAGTTTTCTTGTACACCCTGTACCTTACATGTAAATGCTAATAATTATTTTAAACTATAAATCATCTTAATTTGGTATAATACTAAGTTAAGATGATTTTTTTGGATATTTTGAGAAGACTGTTTTGACCCATTTGAAAAGTTTATGTACACTGTATCTTCTTATTTAAACCTTACGTGTTGGAAAAATTTTCGTTTTTTTTAATTTTTAATGTAATGACAAAGATGCTAACACAGAAATAAATCATGTTATATTTAGAAAATTCAGTTTTAGAGTATCAGTGTGTTTTGTTTTTTAAAACCTTGTAATATCACTCTTTGCGGGACTAAACTTAAAGAATGCGATTCGTATTTGCAGCTTTTGCAGTTACAACAATGTAGCATACCTGGCGATTTTCATGGGATTTGAAATGTAAAAATAAAGATAGGCAATTTGAAAATTGGTTATGGTAATGCAAAATTGGAAACGGAAAGGGGCCCTATTTTTTAAACTACTACTTATTCAAAGTTCATCTACTGGTTAAACAATATAACTCCATTAAAGCAAGTTATAACTTAATAGTAGGGATGACTAATGTCAGTTTGAAGTTGGGTTCTTATTTTTCTATAGGTCTATTGGGTTTTCAACGCTTTATAACTTTTCGTTTTTGTTGTCAGTTTTGAAGAATAAAAACAAAATGTCTGGCCTAATCCTTTAACTGTGTGTTGAAGTGTTGTTACATATTAGGGTATTTTATTTTATGTCGAAACTTGAATTGAGGATTACTCATACAATTATTTGTAATGTATATATGAGTAATCCTCCATGGCTCCAGATTGTAAATACTATGGAGAGATGATGGGGAACCAAAGAAAATAACCGGTATTAAGTACACAACAAAAATCCAATGTTTGTGTGGAAAATTCAGATATTTGACATGGACAAAAATAAAATCTTGATTGTTAAAAGTTTGGTAAGAAAAATTTACCGATTACCATTATATTTCCCTTTATTTTTAAAGTTTCCAGTGTGTTTATGTGTATATATATATGGCGTAAAGGAGCTTGTATTTGCGCTTTACACAAGCTTAAAGTAGGGTTTACACAAGCTTTACGCAAAACGTAAAGGTGTTGCGTAAAGTTTTTGTTTCATTACGCCAGCTTTATATGTACGCGTAAAGGTGCTGTAAAGCTGAACTTTACGTAGAGTAAAGGAAGCGTAAAGTTGTGTAAAATTCAACTATACGCTGACTTTACGTTGTCATTACGCTCACGTAAATTTGATTTTTCATGCTGTGGAGATTGGCAGGGTACTAGTTTCCTTCGTAGCGGAGCTCCCGCGCGCGAAGCGCGCAGCGAAGCACCATGGGTAACAAAATTTGGTAAACTATCAATCCGAGAAAATTTGGTTATGACGTAGCGAACGCCCGCCCACCCGTACACACACTTCATGTAAGCCGATGTCAAATGTCACCATAGATCTTGCACAACTTGACTAGCCTTTCAGTTTTGTAAGCCATCCGTATGAGTACGATTAGATTGACAGCTGTCAAAATCAGACATCCGCTGACAATTATCACATGACCATCTCGCGGGCTCACATCAAACACCGGTCGTTTTACCCTTACATGTAAGCTGATACAATATGTCACACCTACCAATTCAACATAAAAATGAAACTACCCCGGGCAGGGCTGTCAGTCGGCTGACAGTTGTTTAAAGTTATATTGGCAAGCTAAATTAAGGTCAGTTGACAGCTGTCAAAATGGGATATGTGCAGACCACTATCAGAAAACTAATAACGTGGGCTCAGGTTCGCTCAGGTACACGATCTGGCATTTTCCAGTACAAGCCGGACGGATATATCTTACTCACACTTGTAGTCTGTTAATTCGAATATTCGCCATTCTAATAAAGGTTAATTGACAGCTGTCAAACTAGAGTATACGCTGACCATCAT